GCCTAGTATTGACATTGTTGGTTAAGTTCCCTCAATTTGACTATGACTCATAGAAATCCTGTAAGCAACAGATTGAAATTGGACCCTCTCCTTTACCATATTCACAATCTCTGCCAGGTTCAAGACCATTGTTGTAGTCGTTATATCAATCCATTTTACTCTGGGTCTACCCCTCTTTCATGGACCCTCTGTTTTCCAAATATGATGCCTTTTTCCAAGGAGTGGAGTCTCCTCACAATTTTTCCAAAGTAGGAGATGACATTTAATCACCCTTACTTGTAAATAATTTTTCTGGTTCCTTGTCTAAACATTGGATGCAATCATTAAGGCCAATAGCTTTGGCATTATGGAACTTGTTGTTAGGTACTGTTGAGTACAACTTACAGCAACCCTATGAACAGCTGATCTGAACCTTGCCCTATCTTGTGCCATCCTCATAATTTCTGACACACAGAAGCCAATTGCTGAAGTCTCTGTGTCAATCCATCACCTTGGGGATAGCCTTCTCCCTCACTGACCCTCCACCTTTTCAAACATGTCTAGAGTATGAAAGATTAATGTTCACCATCCTTGCCTCCTAAAAGCGCTCTGACTGCCCCCTCTCCAGTATAAATCTTTGTTTTGGTTAATCCACAGAATAGTCATTACTCTAGACCAGATGAATAGTGCAAAAAATGCTAAATTCTAAATGCCATAGAATCATCAATTACCTATCTGTCACCAATTATTTACTTGTTTTTGCTAAGTTCACTTTTTCTGCTGTAGTGAGATTATTTTATACCTGTGTGTTACTGTTTTCCTTAATTTTTCTAGATATTACGGATTTCTTAAAGGAGTTACAATTCTAGTTGGAATGATAGGAGGACTAATTTCTTCTACTCTGACTGGAATAATAATTAATCAGGTAAGACACTTCCTTTTATGAACATTTATTTTTCAATATTGATTATGAAGGAAAAGAAGATAATACATATATGGAAAAAATATTCAAAGAGACATAAGGACAATTCATTGTTTTTCTCAGCTCCAGCTCTGTATTCTCTTTGTCAATGTAGATAAATCCAATTGATTTTTGTATGTTGATCTTGTATCCTGCCAGTTTGATGAATTGGTCAACTATGTTCAGTAGTTGTCTTGCTGAGTCTTTACGGTTTTCTAAGTATACTGTCATATTATCTGCATAGAGAGATAATTTTAGCTCCTCTTTGCCAATTTGGATACCTCTTATTTGCTTCTCTTGCCTTATTGCTATTGGACCAGGAGACAGTCATCAGAACAGAGCAAGGAACAACTGCATGGTTCAAAATTGGGAAGGGTGTATGCCAGGGATGTGTCCTATATCCATACCTTTTCAACCTGCATGCAGAACAGATTATCCGTGAGGCTGGACTATATGAGGAGAAGTGTGGAATCAGGATTGGTGGAAGAGCCACCAAGAATCTGCATTATGCAGATGACACAACCCTGCTTGCTGAAACTGAGGAGTACCTGAAGTGCTTGCTGCAAAGGGTCAAGGACTGCAGCCTTCAATATAGATTGAGGCTCAATATCAAGAAAAGATTCGCACCACAACACCAGTTGGCAGCATCAGGATGAATGGTGATGAGATTAAGATTGTTCACAGCTTTAGTTTGCTTGGCTCCATGGTCAACTCTCCTGGTAACAGCATCAAGGAAATTAAAAAACATATTGCAATGGGAAGTCTGCTGTTAGGGACCTCTTCAAAGTGCTGAAGAGCAATGGTATCACTCTGGAGACTGCCTGATACAGGCCATGGTGTTTGCAATCACTTGTTATGTGTCAGAGAATTGGACAATGACTAGAGAGTATAAAAGGAAAATTGATACCTTTGAGGTGTGGTGCTAGAAAAGAGTATCAAATGCACTATGGAGTGCTAAGAAAACAAACAGTTTCATCCTGGAGAGGGATAAACCAGGCTGCTCCCTGGAGGCAAGGATTCTGAGGCTTCATCTGATATACGCTGGACATGTAACAAGGAGGGACCAGTCCTTGGAGAGGGACATCATGCTTGGGTGGGTGGAGGGAGAGTGCAGGATGGGAGGACCCTTTATGAGGTGGATTGTTTCAGTGACTGGGGTAATCGCAGTGGGCGTGTCAGAGACAAGTGCGATTGGCACAGGACAAGAGCAGAGCTTAGGGCTGTTGTACATAGGATCGCTACGAGTCACAAGCAACTCGATGGCACACAACAACAACAACAACAAGACTTCCAATACAATATTGAATAGGAGAGATGATAGTGGGCATCCTTGAGGATTCTCAAGAGGAATGCCTTTAATCTTTCTCCACTGAGAACAATGTTGGCTCTCCTGTTTGAGTACATACTTTTTACTATGTTGAAGAAATTCCCCTCTAATCCTATTTTGTTGGGTGTTTTAATCAGGAAAGGGTGTTGGATTGCCAAAGGCCTTTTCTACATCAATTGATAAAATCATGTGGCTCTTATTCTTTGCTTTGTTAATATGATTAATCACATTGATTTTTTTTATTATGCTGAACCATCTTTGCATATTTTTTTTATGAATCCCACTTGGTCATGGTGAATTTTTTTTTTTACGTATCACTGGATTTTATTGGCCAGGATTTTATTCAGGAATTTTGCATCTATGTTCATGAGAGATGTTGGCCTATAGTTTTCTATTTTGGTGGTATCTTTACCCGGCTTTGGTATCAAGGCTATGTTTGCTTCATAGATCAAGTTTGGGAGAATTCCATCTTTTTCTATTTTCTGAAATAGTTTATGTAGGTTTGGTGACAGTTCTCTGAATGTTTGATAAAATTCACTTGTAAATCCATCTGGTCCAGGACTTTTTTGGATGGAAGTTGTTTATTACATTTTCAAATTCTTCTTTTTTAATGGATCTGTTCAGGTGTTCAATTTTGGTTGGTATCAGTTTAGGTAGGTTGTGAATTTCTAAATATTTGTCCATTTCTCACAAGATTATATACTTAGGAGTAAACCTAATCAGAAGCACAAAAGATCTATTCAAGTAAATTACAAAACATCATTACAAGAAACAAAGAGACCTGAAGAAGTGGAGAATATCCCTTGCTGATGGATAGGAAGACTCAATATTGTGAAAATGACACTACTAGCAAAAGCAATTTACACGTTCAATGCAATCCCAATATAAATACCAATTCCATTCTTCAAAGAGATGGAAAAAGCAATCTCTAATCTAATTTAGAATGAAAAGAGCCCCAAATAAGCAAAGCACTCCTTAAAAACAGAAACAAAGTGGGAGGCATCTAACTCCTGATTTCAAATCCTACTACATTGCCATGGTGGTCAAGACAGAATAGTAACTGGTACAATGACAGACACAAAGATCAATGGAATAGAATTGATAATCAAGAAATAGGCTCATCTACTTATGGTCAACTAATTTTTGGCAAGGAGATGAGATCAGTTAAGTGGGGAAACAATAGCTTTTTAAATAAATGGTGCTGGCAAAATTGGAAAACTATCTGCAGAAAACTCAAGGAATATGCACACCTCACTCCGTACACAAAAACCAACTCAAGGTGGATCAGGGACCTAGGACTAAAACAAAGGACCATTATCTTCATTAAAGAAAAGCTTAGAAGAACTCTAGAAGTCCTAATCCACAACATAAACAGTGTTCCAAGCATCCTGGAAAATCTACAACTAGGAGAGGAAAAAAATAGATGAATGGGACCTTTTAAGAATCAAATCCCTATGCACATCCAAATACTTCTCCAAAAGGACAAAAAGGGAAGCCACAGATTGGAGAAAAGACACGTAGTAATGATATGTCAGACAAGGGACTTATATTTAGAATTTATAAAATACTTAAGTACTACAACAAGGTAAAGGTAAATAACATAATTAAAAAATGGGCACAGGATATGAACAGACGCTTCACCAAAGAAGATATTCAGATGTCCAAGAAGTACATGAAGAAATGTTCAAAATCCCTAGCTCTGAGAAAGATGCAAATCAAAACAACTATGAGATATCATGTCATCCCAGAAAGAATAACAAAATTTAACAGAA